ACACTCTGGGTGCAGAGCAAAGGGGGCCTACCTCCACACCACCTGGAGACAAATGGAAATTTGCTCGCCATCACCTAGATCCATATTCAATACCTGGCACTAACTAACCTACTGGGCACACCCAGCCTTCGTTTCATTATAAAACTTCGGGTAATAGAAAAATGAATCACAGAGTTACTGTGAGAATGGGAATATAGAAAAGGAGGACGTGAAAGGAATTTTCAAAAATAAAAACAGGAACTGACTATACTTCAATTAATTAATTAATTAATTAGAACATGCACCAAAAAGCCACTCTGGTAGTTTGTGTGATTATTGACAACTGCTCCTCCTTCCCTGCCTTCCTCCCACAATTTTTACAACTCCTCCCACAAAGGGGCAGAGGATGTTTCTCCAGTGGTTGACTCTGGGTTCAGCCATCTGGCTTCCGGATACATGCGTTTATCAAGTGCTCACGGGCCAGGCCACTGAGACACTGGCACCGGTTGCTACGAAGCCTAGAGCAGCAATAGCTCACTGGTGCAGCCAAGGCGGGATTACTTTAAAAATAGAATGTGTTAGGCAGCTTCCCTCAACTCTGTTATTTCTCTCGCCACACAAAAATTGCAGCATAACTCTATACAAATGAAATGAACATTTTGTGGTAGGACCTGAAGCCAGCAATCTCCTCTTGGTTGTAAGATTAAGCAAACCTAAATGAAGAAACATATTCCAAAGAGAAAAAGCCCAAGTGTATGCCCCTCCCTTACCTTTCAGTTTATTGACTTCGACCTTAAGTACCTTCAATTTCTGCTTGTAATCTTGCTTTTCTTTCACAATGCAAGTCTCCACCATCTTAGCGTCGCGTAAAGCGTGCTCCAACAATTTAAATTTCCCTGAACAGTCAGCAATGTGATTGACTGCCTCAATGATATCTTTGTCCTAAAAGCCGAATTTGAAAAACTGTTATGAAAGATCTTTAAATTCCAGCTAATCAGTATGAAAAGACTGCATTTACTAAGATCTCATTTGTGTGCCCGGCTTCATACCAAGCACACTTCCCGTGTGTTGACTCACTTAGTCTTCATAGCAACTCTCTGAGGCAGGGGCTACTGTCATCCCCCCGTGACAGAGAAGTGGACAGTCAGTCGGCCACTATGACACAACTAGTTAGTGAAGGAGCGCTGAGGTGAACCCAGCCGGCTGGCCCCTGACACCACGCATGCACACCGCAGCGCAAGGTCTCAAGAAGTTTAGAACCAGACCACCGGGTTACCTGTGAGGCTGTAACAGCAGTCGGAGGGCTGCAGCCCTCGAGGGGGGCTTATTCTCTGGATTTCAGATAAATCCGGCAGCAGATTTATCTGCTTCTTTCCAGTGTTACAATGACGGAATCCAAGCCCTTATCCCAAACCTGCCCAAATCAGAACCTCTTATTGTTGAGGTGATTGTTTTAATTACACAAAAGGTATCTGCTTTTCGAAAAGCAATTCAAATAATACCTGAAAGTGTAAAAATAGTAAGTAAAAGTACCCCCCCCGTCACATGGAATAATTTTTATTAGCAAGCTTTACTCTTGCTTAAGCAGGACAAGGGTGTCTGCTACAGCGTCATGTATGCGTTCCTAAAAAACCTCAGTCTGCATATTCTCACACTAGGGGGAAAAACGGGGTTGGGGCAGACCATTCAAACACCGATGCAACTTTGTGATCAGACCAGCAGCAGAAAAGTCATCCTATTACATAAACAAACACAGTTTAGCAAATGCCCCTGCAGACGCGTCAGTCTGGCAGTCCTTTTCAGCACCTTCACTAGCACCCTCAGCTTTGCCAGTGGGTTTGCTGCGATGGAAACCGTAGGGGCTGTTAAAGCCACAAAACTGGTCATTATTTGATTAAAGACAATTCTATAGATTTTAATATTTTCTCTTTAATTTTATGAACCACTCAAAAACATTAATGTTCTGGGAAAATCACATGTGAATTAGTACGCGTGTTGTCACACACGTGCATGTGTTACAGCAGAAGAGACTGTTCACCCACCATGTGAGTGGCTAATTCAACTGCTTGGTGGCTAAGGTTTCCCCTCCATGAAGAAAAGTTTCACAAGCACTCTGAGTAGCAATGACTTTAGGAGACCTAGTCATGGATACCTCAGAGGCAAGCGAGCTCACCCAGGCCTGCTAGACGGCGGCGCGCCCCACAGGTGAGTCCTGCCTCCTCCATCAGGGCTGTGGGGGCAGCATCATTTTTCACTTGTTCCCTTCAGCCAGAGTTTACAAAAAGAGAGCAACGCTGACAGCTCCACCCGTCCGAGATGCTGTCCGACAATGTAAGTGACTCTGCTTTATAAACTGCAGAGCGCCCTGGCAAATGGGGGTGGGTACAGGTTATTCTGAGTTACCTTGAGCTTAATCATGGTGGTGAGAGCCTGTTCCCGAGCTTGTAACTGTCCCACCTGAGCAGAAAGTTCCACTAATGTGTTGCTGAGATTTTCATTTCTGGTCTATGAGGGAACAACATAAAATACTAACTGAGTCATTCATTTAAAAGCTGTCATTACTCTCACCAGCCACAATCTGTGCTCACTCTTCTGTTTTGTTTCTTCTTCTTTGTTAATTCATCTTTTTTTTAGTAACCAAGTGGGCGAAGTAAGCAGTCATCGGAAAGGAACACAAATACCTATTTCCCCATTATCTCTCAGCACTGTGTTTGCTTTAATGTCTTTTATGTGTAATCCTAGGTTGGCAAGAAAGAAGACCAGGACTGAATGAATGAAAACTGGAGTAGTGCAGCCACTATGGAAAACAGTG